TGAAAGTGAGAACTACACTACAAACTATTAGGATCTTACAAGAAACTGTTTAGAGCACTCAAATTGTAAGTATAAATTGTAATCTAAGAGGGGGATGGAGGTGAGTTAGATTATCCAACATTTTTGAATTTATCCAAATTATGAGGAATATCAATGTTGTTCTTAGTTTTTAGAAATTGTTATGAATGTTAAAGTGCTGTAAATAAAAGTAGAAAAATAAAAAAAACACCAGATATATCCTAGTTCCCCTTTCCAAGCAAGCGTACTCCAGTCCTCTCACACCCTGTGAGAGATTTTACTACGTTAGATACGTTACATCCAATCCACCAGACTCTCTTAATTATCTAACACCATCACAAAGGCACACCACCTTCTCATTTCACACTTGAATATAAAGAACACCACTTTCTAATACAACACAATGATCACTAAACACTTTGTGATCAAAAACATAAATTGAATAGGATATGAAGTTTTTTCACTTGAATTAATTATGTAGAAATTGATCATCCCTTCTAAATGTTACAATTCACAATGTATAAGACTTTAAGTGCTCAGAGCTGAATATAAAACTTTCAATGATACTCTAAAAATTATGCAGTAAGTTTCACAAAGTTTAGACTCAAAACACTTAATGATAACAGGAGAAAGATTTGAAATTTGATTTGATTGAAAGATGTCAATTTAAAATTTAGAATCCATAACTATTTATATTTTAAATGCACTTTTTAGAAGCAGTACAAAATCATGAAGCATTGTCATGAGTTAAGAATGAGGTTAAAAAAACATTGGATTCAATATGAGTTTTAATAATATGTTACTGATTCAGAGCTTATAATGTGATATACATAGTGTAATTGCAACCGAAACCTTTTGCTCAAGATCAATTCATCATTGTCCAAGTCTTTGAAGATTACTTGAGTACCAAGCTTTGACATAATCAATTTCTTGAAACTTTGAGTTTTTTCCTTCTTTGATAATGCGTTTGAGCTAGTTCCTTTGTCTTCATCAAAACACAAGGTAATGGTGGAAGCTTGTATTCACACAAATATCCTAGTATAAAGGGAACATAATTACCATCAGATATAGAGACATATGTCGGAACCTCCTTAGAAAATATTGTTAATCAAGATAAAGCCATTTAATGCACATGTTCCCAATGCTAATGATGTCTCTTCAAAACCCTTCAGTTACTCATGTTAAATAGTCGACTGAAGGATATACCTTGCAAGCTCTCATTCTGCAAAATAGAACAAGGGCTTAGGGGACAACTATTTGTGTTGTTCGTAAGACCCATAGGAAAATGCCTATAATTGAAAATCTTTAGTGGAAAGACATGCTTAACATGTATAATCTCATTATAACTAAAAAAGTAGGTAATTTCGCCATCCAACACACCAATCATCGTCCAGTCTAATCTAATAGCTGTATGCACAACACACTACATCACACACGAGCAATTTGAACCGCTCTTAGTATATAACAGTAATGTGTGCCATTTTAGATATTTAATCCATCTCACTCATACGTTACTTCTGATTTTTCTCACTGATTTGAATATTAAAGTGCTAACTTTGTAGTACAATCCTCACTCCACCCCATTAAAAATATATATCTATCTTATAGCAAGACATGATTTTGATACGTCACCTTTTATTTCCGATTCTTAACCCATGTTGCTTTTTAAAATTAAATGATTTTCATAAAAAAAAATCTAAAGATAATTAATAGTAAGGATCCCATTAACACATTATAATGGATCCCATTAACACATGTAAAAAGTGATAACAAATAGTAAGACGAGGCAAGCTCAAAGCCAAGTCTAGTGTTCTTGCTGATAAGTACGTGAAATAAACCATTAAATCAACAATAATCTCCTCCATCAAACCCCATAACCTTATTCTCTAAAAACCCTAATAAAGAAACATGAATGAAAGAAATGGAAATCAAGGCATTACCTTAAAAGAAACAAAGTTGGTACCTCACATTTTAAAAGAGGAGGCACAAAATGGTTGAGGATGAAAGAATGCGCGGGAAACTAGAAACAAAGGAAGAAATCACCAACAAAGAAAAGGGATAAGAGTTTCTCAAATCCACAGGTAGCAGAAAAGAGAAGATTAGTGATCCAAGAGCTCTTTATATGCATTTTCGCTGCAGCGAATCATATAATCTACCATATTTGAAAGTGAGAACTGCACTACCAACTATTAGGATCTTACAAGAAACTGTTTAGAGCACTCAAATTGTAAGTATAAATTGTAATCTAAGAGGGGGATGAGGGTGAATTAGATTATCCAACATTTTTGAATTTATCCAAATTATGAGGAATATCAATGTTGTTCTTAGTTTTTAGAAATTGTTATGAATGTTAAAGTGCTGTAAATAAAAGTAGAAAAATAAAAAAACACCAGATATATCCTAGTTCCCCTTTCCAAGCAAGCGTACTCCAGTCCTCTCACACCCTGTGAGAGATTTTACTACGTTAGATACGTTACAGCCAATCCACCAGACTCTCTTAATTATCTAACACCATCACAAAGGCACACCACCTTCTCATTTCACACTTGAATAGAAAGAACACCACTTTCTAATATAACACAATGATCACTAAACACTTTGTGATCAAAAACATAAATTGAATAGGATATGAAGTTTTTTCACATGAATTAATTATGTAGAAATTGATCATCCCTTCTAAATGTTACAATTCACAATGTATAAGATTTTAAGTGCTCAGAACTGAATATAAAACTTTCAATGATACTCTAAAAATTATGCAGTAAGTTTCACAAAGTTTAGACTCAAAACACTTAATGATAAAAGGAGAAAGATTTGAAATTTGATTTGATTGAAAGATGTCAATTTAAAATTTAGAATCCATAACTATTTATATTTTAAATCCACTTTTTAGAAGCAGTACAAAATCATGAAGCATTGTCATGAGTTAAGAATGAGGTTAAAAAACATTGGATTCAATATGAGTTTTAATAATATGTTACTGGTTCAGAGCTTATAATGTGATATACATAGTGTAATTGCAACCGAAACCTTTTGCTCAAGATCAATTCATCATTGTCCAAGTCTTTGAAGATTACTTGAGTACCAAGCTTTGACATAATCAATTTCTTGAAACTTTGAGTTTTTTCCTTCTTTGATAATGCGTTTGAGCTAGTTCCTTTGTCTTCATCAAAACACAAGGTAATGGTGGAAGCTTGTATTCACATAAATATCCTAGTATAAAGGGAACATAATTACCATCAGATATAGAGACATACGTCGAAACCTCCTTAGAAAATATTGTTAATCAAGAGAAAGCCATTTAATGCACATGTTCCCAATGCTAATGACGTCTCATCAAAACCCTTCAGTTACTCATGTTAAATAGTCGACTGAAGGATATACCTTGCAAGCTCTCATTCTGCAAAATAGAACAAGGGCTTAGGGGACAACTATTTGTGTTGTTCGTAAGACCCATAGGAAAATGCCTATAATTGAAAATCTTTAGTGGAAAGACATGCTTAACAGGTATAATCTCATTATAACTAAAAAAGTAGGTAATTTCGCCCTCCAACACATCAATCATCGTCCAGTCTAATCTAATAGCTGTATGCACAACACACTACATCACACACGAGCAATTTGAACCGCTCTTAGTATATAACAGTAATGTGTGCCATTTTAGATATTTAATCCATCTCACTCATACGTTACTTATGATTTTTCTCACTGATTTGAATATTAAAGTGCTAACTTTGTAGTACAATCCTCACTCCACCCCCATTAAAAACATATATCTATCTTATAGCAAGACATGATTTTGATACGTCACCTTTTATTTTCGATTCTTAACCCATGTTGCTTTTTAAAATTAAATGATTTTCATAAAAAAAAAACTAAAGATAATTAATAGTAAGGATTTAATTGAAATATACTGTTACTTAATTATAAACGTTGGATGTAAAAAGAAATTTGACTTTTATTTTAATAATTGATAAAATAATACAAACGGATGATGACGATAAATTGATAGTATAATTTACACCTTTAATTAATCTCTTAATATTAATCAGTTCTAAACGATTTTTAATTTAAGTTAATTTGGATATAAATATTATCGGTTGCAATTGAATAAAACTCAAAGATAAATGATATTGACTGCCCCACGAAGTTTGGCTTAGCTCATAAACGGCTCACCGCGCCGAGCCAAGTTAAAAACAAACAAAAACAAAAACGAATCGTTTTAGCGCCACGTCATTGCACCAGTTTAGTTTTTCACAAATGGTTTCATTTTCATTTCATTTAATTTCCATTTGCGCTTTTTCGTAACTCTTCTCCATTCTCTCTTTCAATTCGACAATGGAATATTTGCAACACCCTTCGATCCGCGTCGTTTTCGGATCACACAACGCAACATTCCAATTCATCATCCTTCACCATTTTCAAGCCTGATCACAAAACGACATCGCCGTTTCGCTCTTCTTCTTCTTCCCCGTAACATCTCTTCTCTTTCTCCATTCCATTTCACTGCGTTTGGTTCATTCTGCTTTTTTGTTTTTTTGTTTTTTGTTTTTCAGTTTCAACAATTTCAACAGAATCGCATTCTCCTCAATCATTGCCGTTTTAATCGCTATTGTTTTCCGTCGTTTTCTGATCGATCAACGTCCTTCGATGAATTCATTTTTTTTGTATCGATTATCAATTTAACTGTTTTCTCTATATTACGATCTTCATTGTTGATTCATTAATTCGGGATGAAAATGCTTGATTAATTAATCGGTGAAAATGGAAAAAACAGTATTAAGATTTTAATTTGTTTTTTCTCGATTAATTGATTAATGTGTGTTTTTGTTGTTGTTTCCTTATTTAGGATTTGATTCTGATAGCAAAAAAAGGAGAATTAAAGCAAAAACTAGAAGAATTGTTTTGGTATAGAATTTAAGTATTGAGAATTTGAGGATTGAAAATTTAAGTATTGAGGAGGTGAAATTGGGGAATGAACAATGACTACTAGGAGTGAACACCATCAAACGGTTCCTCTTTCGGTTCTTTTGAAACGTGAATTGATGAATGAGAAAATTGAGAAACCTGAGATTATTCATGGTCAAGCTGGGCAAAGCAAAAAAGGAGAGGATTTAACATTGTTAAAGTCTGAATGCCAGAGGATGGTTTCTGATGGGGTCTATACATATTCTGTTTATGGGGTATGTTTAATGTTTCTCATACATTGCTTTGTTTTCCAGATTCAATTACTGATTTTCCTTTTTGGACTTGTTTGGTTACAGGTTTTAATTTGATGTAGTATTTTACACATGTCCATGTTGGATTAGTTTCTAACTTAACATAGCTTTCAATTAAAATATATTTGGGGTTTTTCACGCTGAAGTGCTTATAGTAATTGTTATTTATAGAGAATGTATCCATGAGATATTAAAAAAAAAAGAGATGCAGAAGATAAATTCAATTTATAAGAGTAACTATTGTTTAAGATACTTGTGATAATTATGTGATTATTGTTTGGAAAGTTTTTCTGATCTGGTTTGTGTTATCTTTCTATTCTATGGCATGACATGATGAACGGGAGAGAAAAACGAGATTAAGTATATCATTGCAAGGATGGAAAATGCTAATGCTTTTCATTTTGTGGAGTTGCTACTTTTGATAGATTTTTGGAGAGTCCAATGTATCTTTTTTATGTACTTGACGTTTTTTAGTTCATAGCTGAGTTGACTTTGGAGAGAGTTTATCCAGTTGCATATGGTGTCTACGTTAACATGGAGACCTTGTATTTCTGACTTTTATTGCTCAATTGATGTGAAGTGTGAACAGTTATGTTATGATTTTGTGTCTACATTAACATGGAGACCTTGTATTTCTGACTTTTATTGCTCAATTGATGTGAAGTGTGAACAGTTGTGTTATGATTTTGTGTTTGCACTCATCTTAGTTGTGGATAATAAGAAAGATTTTAGCTATATATGTACTGAATGCATTATTGTTTTATTCCTAGTTTTTGTGTTTTGTGTGTGTTTTCCCTGGTTTTGTTTTCTCATGTGTAATTTAATTTACAGCTATTTGATGGACACAATGGATCTGCTGCTGCTGTTTATTCTAAGGAGAATCTTCTAAATAATGTTTTAAGTGCAATTCCTCCCGATCTTAATGGAGACGAGTGGTTAGCAGCATTGCCTAGAGCCTTGGTTGCAGGCTTTGTAAAAACTGATAAAGATTTTGCACAGATCGGTAAGGATAATTTATTTCTTTCAATGTTTGCTCTGCTCTCTGTTAATTATACGTATGTATAAGAAGGAACTTGATGTGCAGCAACGGGAACATTAATGTGGTAATATCACCCAAAGCATTTGTAAATATTTCTATTTTTGTTTCATTCTATCATCCAGGGCTCTTCTCATAGTAATTATAGATGTTAATTAATAAAGAAAAAAAGATTTGCAGATATGTATGCTGAGTGTGCCCAGTGTTCATTCTATTTTGAAACCTTGATATAATCTTTTATATTTAAAATCTCTGAAGATTTAACACTAGATCCTTTTGAGAGCAAAGATATCACAATATTTCTCTTGCTATTATTCTTTAGATTTTTTACTGATTTTGGTTTGAATCTAAATGTTAATAGATGAGAAAAATAATTTTCAAAGTAGGGTATTTTTTTAAATTTTATATAACCATATATTTGTGAGGTTTTTTGCAAGTGGGTTCTGGCATTGAACGAGTTAGGTTGAGCTTCTTTGCATGTTTTAGACTGTGGACATTAATTTTGCATTTTAAGACATCAGCTGTAACTAACTTTAACAATACAACATAGACATTGCTTTTGACTCGAGCATGCAAATTTATCAAGAAAATAATTTCTTTAACAAAAGTTAAATGTTAAAATATTCGTAGACAGGTTTGGCGAGCAGTTTATGTTGTTTGACACTTTCTTGATTAAAGCTAGTTAAGTTTGTAGGCACATAGGAGGTGTACCGTTTACTTGGTGGTTGGGGTGAGGGATTGATAAGGAGAGAGAGGGTTAGATCTCCACCTCCAACATAATACTACTAACATTTGTTTTACTCATATGAACAGTATAGTTAACACATGATTTAAATTATGGACTACATCAAGTAATGTGGTTGCAGCATATTGTATAAAGCAGCCCCTACTGTTATACTTGATCTGAGGACTACATTGGTCCATATCAAACTATTGTACCCACACCACGACTGTGACCACAACCACATTTTAAATTCATGTGGTAATTGTTGACATGTTTGAGTAGTGTATTGTTGATGAAGAAAATTAATCAGTAATAGAGGTTATTAAGATGATGTGACTGAGCTGTGATTATTAGTGTTTATACTTCTGAGTTAATGGTTTTTAATTTTTATATTTTGTCATTACAGGAAAAAAATCAGGAACAACTGTCACCTTTGTGATTATAGAAGGATGGGTTGTAACAGTTGCATCAGTTGGTGATTCCCGCTGCGTACTAGAATCTTCTGAAGGCGGGATTTATTACTTGTCAGCAGACCATAGGCTAGAAACAAATGAAGAGGAGTAAGTTGGAATTTTTTGTTTTGTTTGAACATCTATTTGAAAATGTTCCATTATTAATAGGATTACCCTTCTTTTTCACTTGCATCAGGAGGGTTCGCATCACTTCTAGTGGGGGTGAGGTTGGTCGTTTAAATACTGGGGGAGGTGCAGAGGTACATTTACTTTTAGTTTTATCTATTTTAATCCACATGGTTTTGTACCATAACAAGCTTGAACACCTCGCTTAGTGCCCAAAAGAAAGAGAAAAGGACAGCTTGTTTATATATCTGAGGCATCCAGTAATACTTTAGTTTTTGGTACACAAAGCTTGCACTATTAAACTACATAATCAGATATAAAGAGTAGCATGAAAATCATATCATGGTAAACTGAGAGGCGGGTGTCACTTGTTAATTGTATTTGGTGATAAGACCATATCAAATTAGCAGTACTCATTGCATTTCATCAAAAATTTATAATCTTTCTTGAAAACTGTTTACTGATACTCTCTCTTGATAAAATTTGCATTTGAATCAATTTTGCTAAATATGGCTGACTAGATTAATGATTTTTGTAGGTTGGTCCTTTGAGATGTTGGCCAGGTGGCTTGTGCCTTTCACGATCTATCGGAGATATGGATATTGGTGAATTTGTTGTCCCTGTGCCACATGTAAAACAAGTGAAGGTTAGTCACTGTTCTCAATCTTACACATAGGGTAGTGTTCAGCTTATGTCGATACAATATCTTCCATTTACACCCTTTGATTCTCAAGGTTACTTTACTCTCTCTCTATATCTTTCCTCTAATCCTACAGACTTTCACAACTGTTGTCTTTTACATGTATGTAGTTTCTTCTTAGCAAGTGTATCTGCTAACCATATTCTTTCAGAAACTTTGAGAATCAAATGATTGAATTCTTATGGAGAGTTTAATTTGTTTCTGTTTATTCAGTTGTCCACTGCCGGAGGCCGGCTTGTTATCTGCAGTGACGGTGTTTGGGATTCTTTACCTGCAGAAGTGGCTCTTGATTGTTGTCGTGGCATGTCAGCAGAGGCTGCTGCACCGCAGATTGTAAAAGTGAGATAAATATACTACTTTCGGACCATTTTATGATATTTTTGTGGGACTGTTATAGTAATCTCCGACTTCAACATCATAAGATACCTTGTTTGCATTAATTTCACCTGATAACTGTAATAATGGTTACTCCATGCAACTATGAATTGCACATTTTGTTTTCTGTATTCTCACTTCTCTTTCTATCTTCAGGAAGCTTTACAAGCAAAGGGACTTAGAGACGATACAACCTGCATCGTTGTTGATATATTACCTCAGGAGAAGCCACCTGCTCCCGTGGCACAACAAAAGAAGCCAGTAAAAGGAATGCTCAAGGCCATGTTTCGTAAAAAGTCTTCTGAATCATCTTCTTTGGACAAAGAATACATGGAGCCAGATGTGGTAGTGGAGGTGTATGAGGAAGGCTCTGCTATGCTTTCAGAGAGGTTTTGTTTTGTTTTGTTATAGCTGTTAAAGTTAAAAGCTTTCTCTCTAGTTTTCTCTTGACAATATAATGTTGGTGTAAAATGCAGATTAGAGACAAAATATCCACTCTGCAATATGTTCAAGTTGTTCATATGTGCGGTATGTCAAGTAGAAATAAAACCTGGAGAGGGTATTTCAGTACACGAGGGTGCATCAAACCCTCAAAACTCGCGCCCATGGGACGGACCTTTCCTTTGCTTTAGTTGCCAGGAGAAGAAAGAAGCCATGGAAGGAAAAAGATCATCAGGTATTTTAGATGACTCTTCATTTCTCTTCTTCCTCCTTGAAATATGTGTCCGTAATTTAACCTACCATTTCGGTCTTCTGATTTCAGATAGACATAGCAGCGGAAGTGACGAATGAACTCTCATGTACATTTGCATTTTGTGAGAGTGATCAAAATTGTTCGTTCCATGGGAAATTCGAACCTCCTAGCAACAGTGTCTCCCTTCTATTATCACAGGGGCTTTATGGATCTAATTTGGAACTCCTCATGAAAATAGAAATGAAAACCAACAGCACCTTGTTAGAAGAATTCTAACATGGAAGTTTGAAATGGCAACCGCCCAAGTTTTGTGAATGGTTGAGTTATAAATGACAGTTTACAAGAGTAAGTGGGAGTTTATTCATTCTTTTTTTACATATTTATTTTTCTTGGAGATCCCTTCACTGTATATGTGGGTCATTTGGAATCACATTTATATAATAGACCTTTAATGAAAGTGGTCATCCACAAATGTAATATGATATAGGGAGTTTAATTAGTATTCATAGGTCAATTATACTGTAGGATAGATGTGTCATGTCATGTGTGTACCTTTTGAATGGTTTATTCTTTTTGCATCCGATTTTGATAATTCCTTTTGCCATATCAACATTCCATCTTTTAGCTTTGTTGTTGCAACTTAATAAAAGAAAATGAATGGGGTTTCAAAATTGACTCAAAATAGTAAATAAAAATGACATTTAAATCTGATATTCAAACTATTTTAGTTCAAGATGGAATGAAACTAATATCAAATGCTGTTACCTAAACCATTTCTATATTTTCACTCATTTAGTAGATTTTATATTACACAAATTACACCTTAAAGAAATTTTTATTCGTTAACAAAAGTTACTTTGAGCACATTTAATTCCTGTATGTTCATTCAGAACTAAAGATTCATTGTGTTTTTTATTTACTTATTATGTATTTTGATAGATTTATTTGAACAATTGTGTTTTTATATTTTGGTGAGTTCCATATTCTTTCGGTTTTGCATTAATGATCTGTTTATTTCAGTTTAAGATTTTTTTTAGTGTTATATATTTTTATTTGAAAAAAAGAAAGACTTATAAAAATAAGAAAAAGTGAAAAAAAGAAATGCAAGAATAAATTTCAACTATTTATTATTACAATTATTCTATGATTCTTATTAAAAAGAAAATTAAATTGATAATAAATTAAAAATTATCCTCTAAAATAATGACAAATATATTTTGCATTTCTTTTTCAAAGTTTTGTAATAAATAGTACTAATTTTAAAAAAGTTAGAGATTTAAAAAAAAATTATAAATAAAAAAATGGCTATAGTTATTTTAAAAAAGTTATTTTAAATATTTTATCCTCTTGCTATAACTTTTTTTAGATACATATTTTAAAGATTGCTAATTTTAAGAACATTCAATAATGGTGCAGATATTTAGTCATTGAAAAAGGTACTCTATAGACCAGATTTTTCAGGATAGGTGACTAAGTGTTCGATCGAGAATTATGAATTTGACATTTTCTTATTGGCTGTCATTCTTCGCATATAGATCTTAAGATTTTATTTGCACAATTTTGATTAGAAATAGTTTTACTCAAATTTTTTAGTTTGTTAACACATATTTTCAAATAAAATATCAAAATAATCGAGTTTTTAAAAAATTATTAAACTAACTTACTTTTAACATGCATGCGTCATATGATGTGACGACAACATTGAAAATAAAAATAAATTGAACTGATGCGCCATATCACATGGCGACACCATTCAAAAGTCCTAACTGATGCGCCATATCATATGACGACGCCATTAAAATACCCTAATTTTTCAGAGGAGGCGTCATATGATATGACGTCTCAGTTCAATCCTTTTTTTTAAAGCCATATTTGATTTGTTTTTTTTTTTAATTTCTAATTAAAGTGGTTTTTTAAGGGTAGATACGCCATATGATATGACTACTAGGCTATATCATTTTTCTATAAATAAGACTGCACACTGATTTGTTACTCCATAATAATTATCACCAATATCCTCAACTCTCCACAACAATTATCACAAATATTCTCAACTCAATCTAAAAGTATGTATACATTCTTAAATCAACGTTCATCATCATTATCATCATCATCGGAGGAATCGCTTCCAACATTTCAACTTATGAAAAGAAATACCCTAGTTTATTTTTAAACAACAAAGCCTCCGATGAAGGTGTTACTCTGAAACACGCAGACCTTGGAGCATTTGCATAGGAAACTGAACCGCTGGCTAGAAAGAGATATTATTGCAGGTGAAAAGATCTGGAAAATTGAGAGGCTAGCTGAGGAGTCAGGCCCAAATGGAGTTACTCGTACGTGGAGAAAAGTGGAAAATGATGCTGGTATCCTTATGATGATGTTAACACCAAAGAAAATTATCTTGATGGTTGTAATATCCTAGATAAGTTGATGCATTGAGTTATTTTATTTGGGTATGTTGTTGTTATTTTCCGATTGTTACTTTGGTATTAGGTTATGCCGTTGTTAATTTTTGCTGTCGAGATATTAATTTATGTTTGTTTAAGTTATGTCATTGTTAATTACAATCGCTTAGGTATGCTATCAATGGAACGAAATTTGTTGTTTGATATAAAGAGACAAGGTTACATTTGAAACTATGATCTTGTGCTTGATCCTACATTGGGACATTTTGTACAATTGTGTCCCGACTGCCGACACGAACTACATAATCTAACCATTTTGTTTGCTGTATCCATATCCGTTGGAATACGCGTGCTATTAGGGTGACCCTTTTTCTTTCTTCGCATCAAATTATTATGCCAGACAATTTCGCCTTCGTATGGAGGCCAATAGTCCTCATTTGCTACCACCTAAAAGCTAGTGCTGTAGACATTGCATAGACTAATGACTTGGTGAACAACAAAAAGATAGTTAGTTGGGTCATGGCGAGCCTTCGAACATGCTGATATAACATGAGAGCAAGGTATACGAAATGCCTGAAACTTTTCACAATCACACCAACTCCTATCTAGTTCCACTCGGTAACATCCTTTAGGTCTCCCTTCATTGTGAATTGACTTTGCAACACTGAACCAACCTTTATTACGGCCAAAGACTTTGACCACATGTGTGTTGGCTTTGACAGCTTCGTCCTTCATGAATTTCATTGAACTATTACTGAACAACTGCCCAGATTGTAAGACAGAACCCCACTTTGTACGTATGGTATCAAAAAATGCCCCGAGCCTAAAATATGTTGCCTTTACCAAAACGGTTATTGGTAGGTTTCAGATGCCTTTGAATATAAAATGTATTGATTCAACGAGTCTTGCTGTCATGTGGCCCCATCGCTGGCCATTGTCGTATGCCCTTGTCCACTTCTCTAGTTGAATACTATCAATCCATCTTAATGCATATGTGTTTGTCAGTCTGATCTCGTCATATTAGTGTTTGAAAATAGGCTCTGTTAGTTCATACCCTGCGTTCACAACCTTCTTCCTTAGTGTTTTGTTCTTGATCTCCCGCATGAAATTTTGAGTGATGTGTCTTATGCAATACACATGGGTTGAGGGAGGATCCTGCCAACCGTTATCAAGATTCTTGTATGCACTCTCGATTAATGAGTGTCTATAAGAGTTCAAACACAAGTTAGGTTAGGGAGAAACATAAAATCAGAGATTTTTTAGAAAAAAACTCCAACCCCCAACAGTCTCCCCTTCAACTAGAGCAAAGATGATTGGGAAAATGTTGTTGTTGCCATCTTGTGCCATGACCACGAGTCTTCTTTTGCACAAAAGTTGTCTCCCTCTTTTAATACTCCTTTTGTTTGCAAGTATGGATTGTAAAAAATATCTATTGATGGTTCATCTTCACCTAAGTTAAGACTTGTCATGTGTTGAGGTGGGCAATAAAATGAGTGTCTGGTAATATGTCTTCCTCGTTGTTTACCATTTCATCAACAATGACTTCAACTTATTCTTCTTCTTCGTCAACGACATTGACTTCAGCTTGTTTATCATCAGATTCGTAAAAAACTTGAGAAGAATCAAGTTGTTGAGACAATTGTTGTTGTTGTAACATAATATATATCACAATATCATTGAAACCAGAATACTCATGATTGAGAAACATATTACGCATATCTTCATCATCTCGAATCTTTAACTGAAAAAATTTGCATTGATCGTGCCCGCCAAAAAACACAGGATTTTTGTAGATGATTTGGCCAACTGGATCACACTGTAATTTCTTTTCTAATCTCGCTTTCAAATGTAAAAAAATTGATCTTCTGCCAATTTAAAACCTAGTAACTTTTGTATTTTGAAAATTGAAACTGGTTATAGTACATTCAAATATGTCATCATTTAGATGTGTACTGATCATGTATTATGGTGTTTGAGCCATAACAAATACGTTACTAAACTCGTGTTTGGAAGAATATGTTACTAAATGATATGATAATAAAATGTATATCTCTAGTGTATTAATACATATATAGTTTGAATATATTATTGTTTTGTCTCAATTATCATTGTACTTCTTCTTCCATGCAATTGTCTTGTCATTTTTTTTTTTTTTTGTATATCTTCTTATCACATTCCATGCATTTGTCTTGTCTCATTTATATCTTCTTATCACATTTCATGCAATCGTCTTGTCTCATTTATATCTTCTCATCACATGTCTTGTATTATTATTATTATTATTATTATTATTATTATTATTATTATTATTATTATTATTATTATTATTATTATTATTATTATTATTATTATTATTATTATTATTATTATTATTATTATTATTATTATTATTACCTTCTATCACATGGTGTACACGAAGTTTAGCTTCTTTAGCACATTACTCATTATCACATGCATGCACACTTCTTATCATACCTATGAACTATCATATAGTCTTGCATTCCTACAAGATTCTCACATGCCTACACTAATAGTCTTGCAAGACTACACTTCCAAGGCTACACTAAAGTCTTACCAACTACACTTACAAGTAAGGGTGACAAAATAGATGGATTAGATTGTTAATGGATGGATCAAATCAATCCATTAATCCATTAACAATACACTAAACTCTCTTAATAAAAATCCAATCC